GCCAGAAAAGGAGAAAGGGCTTTTTATACATGAAACCAAATAACCAACGGTAACCGCTACTATCCCTACTCCGAACTATATTCCTAGCTGTTGTCTTGTTAGCACTATTTTTTAACCTCGACGGAAGGCTATCAGCGCACGTCATTGCCTTTGGGGGACTCGGCTGTTAGATTGCTGCACAATTAAATCATGCTTCCACATTATGTTAGGTCTAATTTGATGAGATATTTACTCCACAGATGTTGGCCAGATTGTTTTGTAGTAGGATCATAGGCTCAACGAATAATTATTGAGCTAAGTGATTCTACTACAAAATAATCTTGCAGGGATCTAGGCTATGATCCATGATGAGATAGTCTACTCCAATAAAACATTGACATGCGTGCAATCATGGGCTTACAACTAGACTATACACTATTCCACAGGTCCATTGTTTTTCACAACCATTCAGAAACCATAATTTACAAAATTTGACACTGAGTTGGAGAGGTCCGTCGCGGATGCCGCAACGTATGGCTCGAGGTATGGTATGTTATGGTTTAAACATTTCAACTTTCAAATATGGCGCCAGTATCGTGTAAAAGTAGGTCAGTTTGCTGCCTCGTTTTGAACAACTGAGATTACAAAATTTTGGTCATTGTATTGAGTTTACAGTTCTTTGCGTGGTAAGTCAAATTATAGATCCCTTTATATTCTTCATATCACCAATCATACTCAGTTCATGGCTCAGTTTCATATTTTCTATGATAGTCTAGATCTAAATCTAGACCCTAACTCTTGTATAGGCTAATGTTCGTCTACTGATCAATTCTGGACATTGCCGGGATGTGGCCTGTGGGGTAGGGGGACAAAAGATCATTACTTCATTTTTACAGTTTTAAAGTCCATTTCAATGTTTTATTGTCATCAATAAATCTAAAAAATAAGGAACCAAAAGACCAAAGGGCTTTAGGAAAAATATATAAATATTGTACACAAATAGACTAGATTAGATAATACATTTGATAAATTAGACTAAAAATTTGATTCAGATTGATTACTTAATTATGCAATAATGTACCTCTTGTTAATAAGGAGTTTGAACCATAATATGAATATGTTTTTCCACATATTACAGGCCTGTCATGCTATGTTGTCTTTTGATTCCTTTTTAGGTTTTTTAAAATAAAACATTGAAATAAATATTCTATCTAAATATCTAAATATTTCATACTTCAGAAAGCTGTTCAAATGGACAAAATTGGGAGGAAGAGGTCATTGTTTGGAAGACAACCAGGTACGTGCAATTTACTTAAAAATGACCATCTTCAAAAACTCTTCTGCAAAGTTAATTTGTTTTCTTTTGTCTATATACAGTAAAACCTGAACACCTCTCTCTCTAGTGAACACCTGTCTCACATATTATACTCTCTCTGTAGTGAACACTTACCACTTACCAACACTGATTGTTTTTTCATGGCAAAATGATGTTCAGTATTCACAGGTGTTACTATAGTCTTCATAACTGTGACTCTACATTGATTCTGATAATATTTGTTTTCCAGTTTTGATTATTTTTAAAGTTCAGATTTCAGGAATGACATATTATGAAAACCATGAAATTTTGGGGCATATAAGTATCTTGATTGATACCTCATCTGGTACATCAACTAGATAAGATGATGTTAAAATCTAAATTGTATACCTTTATTATCTTTAATTGCAGTTAGAATTCTCCTGGTTGATTCCAGTCCTCCTATGGATGAAGAGATCTGTCAAAACCTGACTGCTGTGTTAGGAGAAATGTTTGCTGTTGTTTCTAATCTAAATGGTCCATCAAGGTCACCATTTTTTGGTCTTCTTGTACTTGGTGTCTATCCTGAGGTAAGTCTTTGTCAGAACTACCCTGAGCACTACCCTCTATACCTTAAACACTGCCTACCTGAACATCACCAACATTACATGGAGCTCTTAAGTGCTACTGCTACCTTAATACCTCCTTTCTTGCAGATAAGAGCCAATATTTTAAGGTGAGTGTGCATGTTCGGAATTTTTCTGCTTTCCTCAATTGAGTCACATGTTATATTTCAAATTTGAATCACTCCTTCCCCACAATGTCTACATCTCTCACTTTTGAACAACCAGTATACAAATGTACCTAGAAAAGAATGTGAAGAGGAATGTTTTGATAAAATGTATAAAAACAAGAAAATTCAGTAAAAAATTCCGAAACTTTTTTTGGCTGAATTTTCTTGTTTTTTATACATTTTACAAAACAAATCTTCTCACCAGTCTTTTCTAGGCACATAAGTGCACTCTTTGTGCAAAACTGGAAGATCTGGACGATGTGGGGAAGGAGTGATTCCTGTTTGAAAAATAACATGTGACTCAATTGAGGAATGCAGAAAAATTCTGAACATGCACCCTGGCCTTTATGGCTTCATGACTAAGTGATGGTCAGTTGGTCACATACTTGGTATACAATAAGAACAAAAAAGTGGATTAAAAGAAAATAGAAATGATGTTAATGATAAGTAGTAACCCTTTCAACATGACAATAACTCCATATGGAGCCCTGTTATGTAATACCTTACTGGCGGATCCAGGGGGGGGCATCCCCTTTCGTAGGCCAAGAAAAAATTTTAAGGGCCCCAAAAATTTTGTGGACCCTCAAAAGTGAGCCTTTTTGTGCATAATTGTCTTTTTTAAGCCTTTTTGGGTCAAATTATCAATAAATGGGCCTTGAATTTTCAAAAAATTTTAACAATATCTCCAGTTCTATTCAGTATTTCTACACCAAATTTTGACAAGTTGTTGAAATGTGATATTCCGGAATGAATTTTTTATTTCAGTGATAAAATTTTAAGTATAGGTCCCGGGGTATAGGCAATTTGCAGTTTTCCTCTAAAAACTCTCTTACTTATCAGTCACCAGGCCAACATTTTCCTCTTATATTCACGTCAGGAAAGGGTTAAGTAACTAAGACAAATCATAATTTCTTGTTTTCTGTAGGTATTGTTCCCATTGCAACATGTTAAGGGTAACACTGGTAAGCTCCACGCTGCACTTCAGGAGCTACAGAATGTATCATTGGGGAGTTCTGCACATTCTGACACTGGTGACTGTCTTTGTATGGGACTCAAGGAGGCAGCTTTGCAATACAGAAGACAATCCCGAAGTTTTGCTCAGGTAAGTAAGCACAGTATGTCGCACAACATTTGGTAAAAATTCCTCTAATTTGAAGGGTATCACTGCACATATCCAGTGCTTCTCAATCTGCCACTAGTTGTATTAATTCATAATTTCCTCTCTGTCTGTGCAGGTAGGCGGGTATTGGAATCAACTCGAGGTGATTTTTGTCACTTCAAAATCTGGGGATTCAGTGAGTAAGCACATACAAAGGATCAGTCACTCCCTTGATCTTGATGTCTTGAAGGTAAGCCAATTTGGAAAACATTGAATATAAATCAGTTTGAAAATAGAAAATTGAAAATATTATGAAAATGATGGTTTATTTCGTGCTTGTGAACTTTTTTTTAAAAAAAGGTGGAAAATGTTCTTTTAGTTTGTTTGTCTCTCAACTCATCTCCATCCCTTCTATCCCCTTTATTCTTCATCAATTTATCATTTTGAATGAAGAAATAAATTTACATATACTGGTCCAGTTTCAGGAATGGTTTAGGCAAATGTTTAGCACAAAAAATTGTAGCATTTCCCATGTCAATGATATTAGATTAACTTTTACTATTTGAACTTCAAAATGAACAATAATTTATAATTTTACGATATTTTTTTTTTCAGAAAATTCTTGTAGTAAGTGTAACAAACACAGGGAGGTTGAACCTGGAAGAGGAGAGTGGAGAATGTAACCAGACTGTAGATATGAGTCTCTCGAACCTCTCAGAGCTAGAGGAGATTGCACAATGCAGTGACATTGTAGATACCATCTCCCTAGAACATGGTAGGTTCATTGAAAACACACTACTGTAAAATCCATGGGATATTAGTAAAGAATTTAAGCCCAGGAAAGTCTGTCCGTCTGTCTGTCAACACATTGGTAGCTAATTTGAAATCCTCCATGACAATTGGAACGATTTTTCTTTTAAAATGTGTCTACATGAGGTTCTCAATTGTCCCATAAGTGGTGTCTCAAAAGCTCACCTTTTTTCAAAATGGTGTCCATTTTTATTGCGCAAAAATCAGGTTTTCAGCTCAGGTTTTGGTTATAACTCAACAAGTTTTTCACCAATTTGCTTCAAATTAACTACCTTAATTCATACATTTTCAATAATTCCTACAAGTTTCGGCAAAACAAGTCACAAACATTTAAAATGGTAACCACTTTTATTGCAGAAAAATCAATCTTTCAGCTCATTTTTGGTCATAACTCGAGTGTTCTCTCAATTTTCTTGAAATTGTAAGTTTCTTTCAAAATGGCCGCCATTTCTTTTTAAGAGCACCACCATGTGAGCCCAGTACCCATGGTACTATTTAATTAAAATTTCAAGACACTTACTGAATTCTACTCTACTCAGTAATATTCTTCAATTTAATCCTACTCAAATTCAAACCCATTACTATCTATCATATTCATACTTATGTTATGCTACTTAACTCTACAGCTTTCATCTCTTCCTTATTTATTTCTCTGACAATTCTACGCTAGCTCTGCCTTACCATTTCTAGCACTTTGCATTTTTGCAGATAAGATGTGCCTTGAGAACTTCTTCAAAGGCTGGCTGTTGGACACCAGCACTGATAGTGAACACGTTCACATTATCTTGCAACAAGGTAACAAGATATGGATTTTAAAATCAGTAGTAATTGGATTTTCAAATAATTGGACTTTCACAACAAAAAGAAAGATATTTTCCAGATTCACTCACTCAGCATTTTTGAGCTTCACATTTATCAGCGAATATAAAACCTGTAAAGTGGAACACATCTGTAGGGGGAGCACTTTTCCAAAGTCCATTTGCCCATGAACTAAAAGATCTTTCTTTTGAGTAGACATACATTCCAACACCATGATATTATGCACACTGGCAGACACCTACAATTTTTATGTCACATATTGTTATGATCAATGACTTTTTTGTGGATGTTGTTCAGTATTTGCTAGTTGGTGTTTGATGGTTGGTGTTTGGCACCAGTAACAAATGGTAGGTGGTGACATTTTGCATGTTTATGCCTTGTTTGTTTTATGGGCCTATAGCAGTGACCCTCTTTTCCTGTTTCAGAAAAGGGTTCATTGATAGTAAAGTGTGATATCCAGGAAAGGTTATTGAATCCAGCACAACTACCATTCAACAGTCAGTTTGTAAGTTCTTCCTTCATGTCCTTATGTATGTATTTAAACCAAGAATAAACATTAGACTAGACTAGACTTATTTCCCAAAAACAGAATGGCATTGCATGAATACCACAACAATGAGTTAATAAATAATTAATAAAATGGCTAATTTTGATTATAGACATGTACTAGTAAAGAATAAAACACATCTTTGTGCATGTGAGTTTAAACCTAATGACATATTTTATTGTCTCAAATCATTATGTTATACCAATTAGTTCCTTATTATAAGTACTGACCTCAATGATTAATAAAAAGTATTTTCTAAACCAAAGGGCTTAAACCAAGAGAACACCAAGGCTCAAACATCAGGAGCTGTCAAGTCTACCCAGGTCAATATCCCTGTATACCAGCTGAGGGTCATCAATCTCATTTCTTCAGACTCCTTGTGCGAATCTGTGCTCTTTGGAATGGTGAGTTTTTATTTGGAATGGTGAACTCTTATTTGGAATGATGAGTTTTTATTCGGTTTGTGAGTTTCTTAAATTGTGAATTCACATATATTTTGTATTGTGGGTTTGTATTTGAAATGTTGTTTTCATTCTTCAGACATCCATAAATAAGTTTCCATTCTTATGGCTCAGAGGCATACAATTCGACAAATCATCTAGAGAATTAGGAACCATTTTTAAATTCATATTTGAATCAGTATTCATGCAGGGCCAATGGCCATATGTGAAACATGTGATTAGAAACTTTGTGTCCAATGGGACTGATATCCTTTAAGTGTAAATCTGTTTTATTGTAGACCTTTGAATGTGACCAAAATAAACACTGAAATTGTGGTTAAGGTATATATACCATTGTTTGTCATGTATAATTTATTATGTCACACCACAAGAGGGGACATATGCTTCATGTCCCCAACTTTAGCTTGGATGGTGTTCAGCGGTTGGTGTTTGGCATTTGGCAGTTTATGATCGATGTCTGTAACAAATGGCAGGTAGTAACATTTTGTATGTTAATGCCTTTTTTGACTGTTATCTACTCATCTCTTTCAGCCATATATAATGAGGCCAACATCTTGTTGGAAGATAGATTGGGATGAGCTAGAGATAAACCAGCAACATTTTAATGCCTTAACAAGTCTCCTTAAGAATAAGGTACGTTAAATCAGTACATATTTGATGAATCTAGTTTTGCTGAAATAAATTAGATTTTGTATTATAAAGATATTTTTATTATTAAAATTAGAAAAGGACATACATGGGCAATAAATGAAAACTAGATCTGTAACTGAGTGGAATACAGGATACATTATATCAATTAGAATAATTAAGAACATGAAATCACTGTGTTTTGATTGCATAACTGTTCTAAATTATCTTTCAAACAAATTATATTCACATTTTTTCATTTTAGGAGCTGGTGATTCTCGCTCGGATTGATTCTCCAAATGAAGGTCAGGGATCCAAAGGTTCTTACAGCACTACTGTCCCTCTTGCCCCTTGTGGTCACTTCATTATCCTACCATCTGAGGGAGGAAGCATGTTAATCAAATCTGTGGCTGTCAATGAGTTAATGCTACCATGTGAGAACTCTATCTTAGCTGACAGCCCTAGTCAGACGAGTTTAGAGACAGTAGAAGCAGCTTTAGCACAGGTAGGTTGACTAATGTTGAATCGCTTAAAATGGCATTATTTTTTGTCAGTTCTTGTTCAGATCAAGTAGGGAGAAAATGGGTCCAACTGCCCCACTTCCTTTTGCAGGTCATTCTTGATTCCCATCTAAATTTTCATAATAAAGACAGTAGCTTTATATACTTTATTTTCCTGGATGAGCCTGAAACCTGAGTAACCAGTTTTAATCTATGAAAAAGTCTTTAAATTGATGATATTAACAAAGTATATTGTGTGTATTAGGTTGAGGTCCTGCCCTCTTATAACCCTCTGAAAGTGAAGTCTGGATTAAACAAAAGCTTGGTTGCCATGGTTACAAAAGGAATGCCAAGACAACCTCTGAAGCGGAAACCTACAAGAGTAAGATAATTCAAGTTTTTTTTATCATTATTATTTCATTATTGGGTCATATTGAAATATACTATTAGAGCTCTCCACATCACATTTTCTTAATCTGGGTAGAGAATATATCATTCTAGCCAACTGTAGTCTGCTTTAGAAAATTTGGTCAAGAAGAATAATTTTTATGGCTCTAAAAGTTCATTTTGATGCAGTCCCATAAAAATACTTTCAAAAAATTAATAGCTCATTAAACTGTTAAATGTCTCTGTTTCAGGGTGGTACAACTTCAAACACTGGTGTCCCTAGCTATCATTCAGCATTCTCAGACAAGCCATTTGGAACAACCCATGGTACAGGTAGGGGTAACACAATCCAAGTGAGAGGACAAGGTGGAACAACCAGCACAACTCAACCCAAGGGTAGGGGATATACAGCACAACACAATGATAAATTTTATTCATCTAAAAAGGTGAAATTTTCTGGGAGAGACATTTATGGAAGACCCTGTGATGTTGATAGCTCTTTTCCAACAGAACTTTGATGAGATCTGCAGCCAACAGAGCTTAGCCTAAGTAAGATCTGGAATTAAAAGGTTTTTAGAGTTTTAGTGAGATCTGGAACAAACAGATAGAGCTTTAGGGAGAATTGGAACCATGCAACAGAGCTTTATAATGAGTGAGAACTTGAACAGAGGGGTATTGCCTTCCACTTGAGTTAGCTTGTACTTGCCTTCAAACAGAGCTTGACCAAAGGAAGCTTGTATGAGCTATTGACGTATATAGTTGTATGTTATCTCCAAACAGAGCTATTGAACATTGGGTTGCTACCTTCAAATAGAGCAATTGAACATTGGATTGTTACCTTCAAATAGAGCAATTGAACATTCGGGTGTTACCTTCAAATAGAGCAATTGAACATTGGGTTATTACCTTATAATAGAGCAATTGAACATTGGGTTGTTACCTTTAAGTAGAGCAATTCAACATTGGGCTGCTACCTTCAAATACAGCAATTGAACATTTGGTTGTTACCTTCAAATAGAGCAATTGAACATTGGGTTGTTACCTTCAAATAGAGCAATTGAACATTTGGTTCTTACCTTTAAGTAGAGCAATTCAACATTGGGCTGTTACCTTTAAATAGAGCAATTGAACATTGGGTTGTTACCTTATAATACAGCAATTGAACATTGGGTTCTTACCTTTAAGTAGAGCAATTCAACATTGGGCTGCTACCTTCAAATACAGCAATTGAACATTTGGTTGTTACCTTTAAATAGAGCATTTGAACATTGGGCTGTTGCCTTCAAATAAAGCAATTTAACATATGGGTTTGTTACCTTCAAATAGAGCAATTTAACATGAGTTTGTTACCTTAAAATAGAGCAATTTATACAGAATCTTTGAATAGTAGGATGTTACCTTTTTCATGCACATCCAAATGGATATACATGTATGTACGTTTTCTGACTTTCTAATTCTATGCAGTTATGTGTTGGATGTAACCAACCATTTAGTTAACCTATGAATGTTGCATTTGTTTACGGTATATACTATGTTATAAATCCTGTATTAATTTATCTCAACCATTACACTTTGTTAGGTTATTTATTAATAAATAAAATAAACTATAATATATATCAATTTTTTCAATCTTACTGACATCTCACAGTCATGGTTCTCATTCTGATTTACAAGTTCAAGTCTGGACTCCGTTTTGAAATGATTCATTCAGTTTGTTTTTGTCCAAGCAATAAAAATAAAAAATTCATCTTGACCAAACATCTTATATGTAAATAACGATTTTGAGTTCAATTATCAAATGTTCCAATTTTTTGGAACACCCTGTACATCAGTTATCTTTAAGACTACATGTACTCTCTCTTTAGGCCTATGGGATTTTTTTACGAAGGCCCCCACAAGGTGGGCAGAGCCGTTCGTCCTATGGACTGGAGTTTGACCAGTCACTCGACCATGGCCTTTCAACTAGAAAGCCCATGACGTGACCAAAAGTTCCCTTACATGTATATGATAAATCATCAAGGCAACAGACACAACGTCATAAGTTGTGATGAAGATATGACATAATATTACATAACCATGACATCAGTTACATCTTGACAATGAGGGTTTGAGCTGGTTAGCCCCAGGCCATATACTATTGTTAGCTTTCATTACCAGCTGTGCCTGCTTGTTTATCAAATAAATATAAAGATGTCTCTTAAATCGTTCACCAAAAATATGCCGCCATATTTGACATTTAATTGCATACTTCCGCCATGGCAGAGAAAAAACCTCTCCGAGGAATTCTGAAGAGTTCGTCAAGTTTTGATCATCCCGAGTAAGTACATTTAATTTAAAAACATTTATTGTGAAGGTGATATATCAGCCTATATAATGCCTAAATTTTACGTTCAAATGGTCTTTACTTTTGAAGAAATCTGTATCTGACTGCTGAAAGTGAAAAATTAAAAAAAATAAAATCAAAAATTCCTTTCTTATGAGTGACCGTAGACATAGTAGACCACAGGTGCTCCCTGGGTAATAAGATTGGGGGTTGCCCTGCAAACAAAATTATAAAGGTGCGTCGAAAATCAAAATGGCAATAGCTTGAATATATAGTAAAAAATAAAATCGCCCTCCTTCACTCATGTCTCAGGCTTATGTCAAAGGCTGCTGACTGATTCTGATTGACAGGCTTTACACACATATATTAATTTGACATTTATTCATAATGCCTGTAACCAAAATACTGAATTCAGCTGCTTATATGTACTTTCTCCTAATGTTCCTAAAATCAGTGGCTGTTGCATGTGAAACGACAGAGTTTCAGGTGACTCTGGGCCGATCAAGACTTCTTTTTATCGGTCGTTTTTCAGAGATTTTTGAATGAATGTTACACCCGGGGGTTCACTGTAAAAAAATTGGGTAGGTAGGTGCAGCACAGGCAATTTTGGCTTGGCATGAACCATGGAACCTGGCCAAATTCAGTGGAGACGATGGGCTCAATTGCCGTATCACATTGCAATTGAACGACGATACGGCAATTGCCGTATCGTCTTATTTTAATTCCAAACGCGCATGTCTAGCAACTCAGTGCGATTAAAGCATAATACGGCAATTGCCGTATCGTGCGTCAATTTTATTAAGAGTATTTATTTTTTATTATCGCCCAAATACAACAGCCCTGGAAGGTCTATTAACACGACTCAAGCAAATATTATAATTCGAAATTTAATTTTACGCTGGTTTAAATTAAAAAGTCATTTTTATACTTTCTAGGCTCCAGCGTAGTGCAATACTTAAATATAATCAATACTGCGCTTAACACTGAAACACCGATCTTTGAAATACATTTTTATTTCTAGTATGATGTTTGATATCTCAAATGCACTGAGACAACCGGTTTTACTTTGGATAAACAATATTCAAAATTAGGTTTAGCATTTAAATCACTGATTTTAAATTACGAAAATAGACTGAACCTAGTATCAACAAGATATATCAATTATTAGTCAGTTAGTATGGCCAGTATATTTAATCAAAACATTGTCGATTATATTATGCGATACTGTTTATTTGCGATATGAAATCTGTGAAAGATTCAGTTAAAAAGATTTTTCCTTGGGAAATGGGAGGGGAAGGGAAATGGTAGAATATTTGTCATTATCCACGAAAAAACAAAACTTAGTAGTAGATCTATTGCCCGTGGTAGATCGCTATAAAAACGTTCTTGGTAGTCTAATGTGCATGAAGGCATATAGTTTGACAAGTATTACGGAACCAAATACATGAAATAAAGTATTCTTTGCGCATTTGCAATTGCAATAAAGGTTTCAAGAATTTCTTTATAATTATGAGTTTATTACTGTATGTATTTGAATGAAGTTTGTATGATGTAGGCTTACATGTCATTCCTCCTCTTATGTTGAAGCTGAGACTATACATATCTAATTGCGGGTGGCGCGACACGGGAGATACAACTCTCGGATAAAGTTTAAAATTCCTTTTTATCTGTTTATGTTCGTCTCAGGTTGAAGTAAATAGGTTTTCAGACGCAAAATGTAATATTTCCGCTGTAATATAATTACGAATTGAGGCTTAATACTAGTAAATGGAAATGATCAAATATGTATCAACATTTTTCAATCTGCGTGGACTCCTTGAAAGTACACGTAACGATTCATACCTGTATGAAGTATGCTGAAACGGCCGAGATCTGCTTATATATTGAATATTGATACATGCGCGGCCTTGACAGAGCAAACCTACTAACCCACATACGTGTGCTACTAACCTAGATACGTCTAGCTAATTTGCATAACGTTGTTGCAGTCTGAATCCACTTTCTGGCTCTAAACTGGCTGTTTAAAAAATGGCATTTATTAGTCTATAACTCTGCTATTAGTTGACAGATTTCGAAATAAATAAGACCATGGTTATGCTCGGAACTAAAGCTTTCTGATGGTTCCACTTTGTAGTGACCAAATTGCCAGAAAACTGAGGAAATAGAAGGTAAAGGCGATTTCTCGAATTCCAAGTTTCACATAAGAAATCATGCGTTCTGATTGGCCGGCTTTCTAGCAGTCCCAATCCACTTTAGCTCTCCAAACTCGCCGTTTTAGAAATGACACTTTTCGGTCTTTTTCTCCGCCATTTCTCGGTCGATTTCTAAAAGCATAATGTCATAGTGAAGCTGACAAAACCAGCTTCCCGATTGTATCACTTTTGAAGCGATCCACGTGCAATAGATAGGTGGAATTCGAGCGTGAAAAAGTTTCTCCATAATCGAAGATTCACTTTAGAAATACTGAGGAATCGGGCATTCTGATTGGTCAGTTTTCCTGCATTCTCAAGTCACTTTCCCGACTCTAAACCTCTAAACTGAGTTTCTAGAAATGGCATTTGCTACATACGTCTCTTGCTTTTGTTTCTGGGTTGCTGGACGAAATTATCCAGGCAGCATTGTCCGTCTGAGAACAGTGGTAATGTGAATGGTACTTATTACTTTGAACGCGATCTAGTAATGACTTAAAGCCGAGACTTTTATACCTAAAACGTCAGTGTAAAGGATGAATCAAACCCAAAATGCATGCATGAAGATGATGTTATTTATAAAAATGATAAAATTAAAATGAAAACCTGTCTGGTTTCATGTTATTCTCGCCTCTGGAATGTCTGAAGAGCACCTTAACCCCCACAGTACGTTTTTGTCTTTTGCCTAAAATAAGTGAAACTTTGAGAACCCACGGGAGTAATTGCACACGGCAGAATTTAAATGCACGCGAGGAAAAGTTTATTTTATATATGTTCTTCTAATATGAATAAAAAAATTTATGCCATCTCTTTATTTAATATTGCCAAAATTAAGTACAAGGAGGGTCTGTTGCAATTTCACAATTTCAGGGATTTCAGGCTGTAAACGGCCCTTGTGCACTGGAGTAGAAATAAACGATATCTAGGACAAAATATTTCATGTCATTAAATTTAAACCTCCTATTTATGGAAAATACTTTAAAATTGTACTTACTATGGATGTTATATGATTTAATATGAATTTGAAGTCCGGAATTGTCTAGATTTTTAAAAGAAAACCGTTATTACAAATAATGACGTTCTATACGGCAATTGCCGTATCGCCGTTCAAATGCAGTATGATACGGCAATCGAGCCCATCGTCTCCACTGCAAATTGAGAGGAATAAAACGTGGAAAATTTGAGAGAAAATTTAAGAGAGAACTTTTTTAAGGCGACGCTATATTAAATAAGAAGTACAAAAAATGACTGCCATATTTTTTTGATAAAGACACATGTTTTTAAAATCTGTTTACCTTGTATATGAATTGTGTATCTTGACTAATGAAACATGTCAAAGTTAACATCACACATAAACGCATTTTTCCAAACTATGAATTGGAGGTGCATGGATCCCCAAAGCTAGCATGAAGAGTGCGAAGTGAGGCTAATTTTTGAAAGTTTCAAGGAGTAGCCTTGCAACAGTCACACATTTGCAAGAGTCTAAAATTTCCACAAATCATCTTACCTTTCCCAGGAACAATGAAGGAGCATGAAAATGTGCACTTCTTGCATTGTTAGAGTATAATAAAGCTCAAACCATTGTAAATTCTAAATATTTCATGTCCACATTTTGTTTGCCGGAACTACTTCTAGACTTCCTGATTAATCCTCATGCAAGTTTTGTGGCTACACCAAGTGGCATGGATTATCACTTGTATGTTTTATCTATTACAGTGTAATTATCATGATAGATACATGATAGAGGCTTTATGAATGATAAACAATGGAAACATGAATGAAGATAACTCTGGACTAAAAAATAGTTCCAGGAAACAAAATGGTGGACATGAAATATTTAGAATTCACAATGGTTTGAGCTTTATTATACTCTAACAATGCAAGAAGTACACATTTTGCTCCTTCGTTGTTCCTTGGTAAGGTAAGACTATATCTGGAAATTTTGAATTCTTACAAATGTGTGTCTGTTGCAAGGCTACCCCTTGAAACTTTCAAAAAATAGCCTCACTTCGCACTCTTCATGCTAGCTTTTGGGAGCCATACACCTCCAATTCATAGTTATGAAAAATGCGTTTAAATGTGAGGTTTTCTTTTATGTGTCTCTTTAGTCAGGAAATGCATTCACATACAAGGAAAACAGTATACAAAATCTTCTGACTTTATCAAAAAAAATATGGCTCCCATGTTTTTGTACTTTTGATTAACTTAAATGTCACCTTAAGTCAAAAATCAGTTTTTCTACTAAAAATGCTATTGAATGGGTAAAATCAGTTGGCAAGGTCTGAAACAAATCACCCAAAAAGTGGATTTTGTAGTTAATGTACCAATATTTCAGGAAATTTACTCTGGACCTTCTGTAAGTCTGAGAGGAAGTATACATGGAAATTATCAATCTTGAGAGGAAATTGACATGGAAAAAATGCTCAATAAGGGGGTCTTTGGCGCGGCACATAGGTATTAAGAGGTATATTGGAGTGAAACCCCCGGGATGTTATTGCAACATGCTCTGATATTATGAGGCATATTCTGTGATCATGAACACATAAGATGGGAAGAGTTATAACTTTATCGAATCTTACGACCACATTACATTGTGGTCATACGTGCGAACCATTGGTCAGTCAATGTTTCTACAATGTCGGAGAATGAACTACGCATTGCACATTTAAATGACCTACCTCGTTACATTTCTTAGTATTTTAGAATTCTTTTTATTGAGTTGAATCGCCAATTGTATGGATTTATCGGTAGAATGAAGAGATTTTCGTTTTTGATAGCAATATACCTATACGCGCTAACTTTTAA